AGCATGGCTTCGGCGCAATGTGCTTCGATACCCCCCCCCCCCCCCTGCTACATGCGTGCTTGCTGCTGGGAACTTGAAGCTACCCCGCTATCTCTTCAATGACCAGAACAGCGCGTCACTAAGCATGCGTTTCTCAATCACCATTCCAATTCAGTAATTCTTCATCTAAAATATGTCGGACGAAAAGCGGAAAGACTACTGTTACACGCAATGGACACGTTACGCGCAAGAGTGGGCGAAAACTGGATACCACCAGAAGCCGAGGTTCACCGTAAACATCTCTACATTAGCTCGAATCGACTCTATGCCAAGTACTAAGTAGAGCTAGCAAGTCCTTACATGCTCTTACGTCTGGGCTTAAGTTGTCCAGGATCAACGTGGAAGATCTAGTAGACCCCACCGCAGCTTCGAGACTGTTTAGCTCCTGTTGTACTTAAAAGGGTGACCGCATCTCGTACTCGCTGTACATGCTCTCTTCAATCATCTCCATTTTCGACAGCAAACTACCACATCACCTACCCAATTGCATACAGAACACTATTTCATAACATACAGAAAGATGCCGGGCCAACAAACTCGCCAGTGGGTTCTTGCCAACCCACCACTCAACGACCCCGTCATTGAAGGCAACGACGCGACCTTTTCGCTCCAAACCATTGACCTCCCAAGCCCAACCGCTGATCAAGTCCTCATCAAAGTACTCTACTTCTCCAATGACCCCGCACAAAGAGGATGGTGAGTTTGACTACACAAAAAAATCCCGTAGAACACGACTGACTTGTGTCTACAGGATCCAGAAAGACATGGACCCTGAGCGCCTCTACGTGGAGCCGGTGAAGCAAGGTGGAGTAATGCGTTCCTTCGCCATTGCCGAGATTGTCGAATCCAGCACCGATAGCCTGCCCAAGGGTCAACTCGTCATGGGCGACTTCGGCTGGACAGAATATGCCGTCGTATCCAACAAAGCCGTTCGACCCATCCAAGCCGACGAGAGCGCCGGCATTCGCCCCACGCACTTCATCGGTGCACTCGGCGGAACAGGCCTGACCGCGTACTACGGCCTCATCGACATCGCGCGCGCCTCTTCCTCCGACACGGTCGTCGTTTCCGGAGCTGCGGGAGCTACCGGCTCCATGGTTGTGCAACTCGCCAAGCACGTTCTTGGATGTAAACGCGTCATCGGCATTGCCGGTGGTGAGAAGAAGTGCCGCTGGGTCGAGAGTCTGGGCGCAGATGTTTGCGTCGACTACAAAGCCGCGTCTTTCGAGGCTGACCTTAAGAAAGCCACGGAGGGTTACGTAGAAGTCTACTTTGACAATGTTGGCGGCGACATCTTGTCGCTCATGCTGGGTCGTATGAAGCGCCACGGACGCATCGCTGCGTGCGGCGCCGTCGCAACGTACAACTCCATGGGCGACAGCGGCGTCAAGAACTGGTTCGAGATTATCAGCAATCGCATTGAGGTCAGAGGCTTCATTGTTATCGATGCTATTGAGTCGGGCAAGGCTGGTCAGTATATCCAGGAGTTGATCAAGGGAGTCAAGGAGGGTAAGCTCAAGGTTGGGCCCGAAACGGAGACAGTGGTTAAGACTAAGTTTGAGGATGTGCCCAAGACTTGGATGATGCTTTTCCAGGGTGGCAACACGGGCAAGTTGGTTACGGAGGTACAGGCCTAGGTTAGCATCAGACCAACTGCATAGATGTTGAGTCAATGTTACAAATGGAAAGTACTCAAACCGTGCATCGCACAGGAACAGGTGTGACATTTGCATATCCGGAGATGTATATCTACAGCATATGTCATTTCGTGTAAACCATAGGCCAATTCAGTCTTCGCAGTCGCTTTGTCCAACTGAATCACTCATTGCCGTTGCACTCGCTTGACTTGTATGCTTGAACTTGATGGCAAACGGCTTCTATATGACTGTAGCTTGTATCATATCTGCTGTTGACCTTTAGATAGAGTATCTTTCAAAGAGTAACGAGTCATTGCTATCTTCGGGGGTAGACGCTTTAACGGGTGCTGACTGTTGTACATGGGTTTCTGCGCATCATGATAAGCAAATGTAGACAAAACTTACTCTGAGTGAGACGGCGGAGAATATCGAAGGCAGCTTCTATAATCAGGTATGAGTCGCCGTATGAGTGTAAGATGTCTTCACTGCGTCGCGTGATATGAAGGAACACGAAAGTCATAGTTGATGACCTCTGAGTGACTATAGGTAGTTTGCCCACCCCTAACCTGCAAACTATGATGAGGACATAACGATACTTGTGAGTTGGCCCATCTTGAGGTACTCGCCAATGGAGAAGTGGTGGCACCACCCAAGCTTCCGTCGAAACGATCCACGCTGTAGACTTAGTGTAACATGCGCATGTTAGAGTAGCTACGCCTTGCAAACGGAGTCATTAAGGAGAGTTCTGTCAAGTGTAACAGGAAGAAAACTGCGATGCCGTTATTTATTTCGTCATAGTCTACACGGAACCCTTCAAATATACCGCGGGTTGCCCTGCACGGTCTTCTTGACATTCTCGAAAGGTTCTAATGCGATGGGCGCTTGGTAGAGCTCCGGTACTCTCGCGCCCATGTAAACTTTTGCGCACCATCCTGCTTCGGTCTGTGCTCCCTTCATCTCGTAGTATTTTCTCGCAACCATAAGCGGTGTCAATGATCCGAATTTTGCAGTGTAACCAGTGACGGGCCGACAGTTGTACGGCACGCTTCGACATATCGAATCTGCATAGCTGCTGAGCTGGCGGTCCCACATGTACAATTGCTTCATATCGAGTTGTCGATGCTGCCGGAGCAACTTGAATGTGTTGCCTTGCAAGATCAACATGCTCATCCAGTAGATAAGGTAGCAAATGCCGGCCCCAAAGTAGTGGAAGTAGAAGACGGGATCGAATACGCGGTCTGCGCAAATATCCAGGAAGCCATCCATGAAGGCAACGTCTACCGTGTCGTATCGCGGACCGTGTCTTTCAAAGGTTGAGAGCCACTCAAAAGCACGGCTAGCGGCTTGTTGCGAATCCTCAATGAGAGAATCAATCTCCTCCTTTGGACATTCTGGTCTGGTGGCTTTGTCCGTGCGCTCCAGGAGTCGTGGGATGTGTATGCAGATGTCGTTCAGAGCCACGTACGGATCCACTTTTGCCGCTTTGGCAGTCACTGCTAACCATTCCGTGCTGTCTAGCATTGAGGCCTTTCGCATGTGGTAGCCGATACTCAGCTAGCAGGCATTAGCGAGGCTGTGCAGCATACGACAATACGATTCCTCATACCGAATTGTACCGTATGGCGTGGAAAATTTGCATGCTCAATCGACTCTCGAATGAAGCTGGCCCACGCTGCTTAAGAAGATGTAGAAGTCCCTGGACATGGTAGAAAAAGCCATGACCTTGTGTAACACCTACGAAAACCTATGCGAGCGGTTAGACCTGATAGCGAGAGCATTGGATGAGATCGTTTCTACCTCGTAAAGCGTGAGCATATACGTTGATAGCAGTGTTTCGTCTTTGAGTGCTGTCACTGGATCTTGTATTGCGCGCAACATCTGACTCAGGGCTGTGCCATATAGCGACCTGGAGCGATGGATGAGCGGATGATTTCTGTTGTTCACCGCCAGTTGCGCTGCAGAGAGAGCATCAATTGCAGCCATGAGTACCGGGCTGTTCGCGGGCATAGTAGGTAGGCCAAGCATCAGGGCTGAAGGGGGCGGCAACGCCGGACCCTCAGCTCTGGGCAAATACAGGGCAATGAAGGTTCCCAGATGCTGTATTCTGTCGGCGGCAACTGCGCTGACCTGCTTGGGCAGAGGCGCATCCTCAGGCTCCGTTTGCGCATCTTCCCTGCGTACGAGGACCTTGCTTGAGAAAGTTGCGTCGTTTTGTGAGCTTGACGAAGCTTGACTGGCGTACTTGTAGCGATTCTCATCCTCCTTGATCAGGGATGGCTTTTCTCCATGTGCATCGAAGTTGTGGAGAATAAAAGCCTGTGCTGGCCGATAGCCAGGGCATTTTGTTCCGCGCCTCACGCAGGTATTGCACTCTGGTTTGGTCTCGTCGCATCGAACCTTTCTTTTCCTGCACTCGAAGCAGCCAGCCGATCGCTTTGGCATTGTGAGACTACCCGTGGGACCACCACTGTTGAGACCTGGGAGGATGCGATGAGATATGGCACAAGATGGCTGATGTGTAGTTCCGTCTCCTGTCTTTCCGGTATGGACTGGGCTGCTAGGGGCGAGGGCCGTGAAGGGCGCACACCACGCACCGCCCGCAGACGCGGCCGCTAGAGGCGATGGCCAAGAGGCACCCCGTATTCAACGGTGTTGGCCAATCAGTAGTGGCGGTGTCAGCGCTATCACCGGCTGGCTTCCAAGCTTTGCAGCCCTTCCCGCGTGTGCTTCCCCTGGCATCCTCGTGCCAAAGTGACGGAAAGTGATGAGGGGTTCGAAGAGCTCGTTGCTTTCCGGGCGCTTCCTCGGCCCAGCAGGCGCGCGTCTTTACTGCAATGGAACAACTTCTCTTCCAACAAAGTATAGACTATGCATTCCTCGCGTGTGCCTAAAACTCGCGATAGTCCTAAATCCAAAACACGAGCCGAACGCTATCCCGGGGCGACCCCGCGATGCGGTGCAGTCCGGTGCACGGCTTCATTCGCTCTAAGCGAACCTTCCAAGGTTGGAAGCGGCGGACCGTCCAACGCAATAAAGGAGACGGAATCATGACGGGACTCTAGAAATCGACAACTTAGTCGATTGCTTGATGTTCTGGCATAGGGCGATATCGGTCGAGGGCGAAGGGAGAAACCCACGGCAAATGAAGCTGGGGAAGCCGTCGTGATGTCTGCGACTAGTCACCTTTTGACGGAAATTTCAGTACATGCGTCGACAGTCGTGCCACATGTCATCGATGACTGTGGGAAGCGTACAGCGTCTGTCTCAACAGAAGCTGCAGAGTAAGACCGCGATGTTATATGGTCCGCCATTGCGACACGCGCTTTCATCCTGGAGGATCCTACAGCACGTGGTCGCCTCTCCATTTGGCAAGGCTTTGCGAAACCTCTCCACTTATTTCGTATTTAGGAAGGAACTGCGACCAACGCGCAAAGACGCATTACCCACACATGTGGTTGTTCTATGTACGAAGGAGTATGCCCCTGTATATATAGAGGAAAGGAAGCGCTGGTGAGTACGCTGGTGACTCGTGGTGAGTGAATCACGTGAGAGGATGCCTAACCAACACTTTCCAGGATTGGGCATTTCAGCGAACGTGGTCAGCAACCTTGAGCGTCAACAAAGTGAGCAGACTTGGGTGGAGCAACCATTTACACTCTTACCAGTGGTTGGCTGACGCGTGCGATAATTTGTTGAGCTGAAGCAGACACCAGCGTTACAGCATAGTGGTAGTTTGTAAGATCAATGGTCAGGTCCTGTTGCCATGTCTTGATCACTTTCGGTGGTTCTTCCATTGTTTGCCCATGAAATGCTAGGTAGAATGATTCGTGTCGCTGCTCGAGAGTCCTCTGACCTGTAGTACGTCGACCGACGATACGCTGGAATTACTAGTGTTGCATGCCGATGAGGCTCCACCATTGACACACAAGCCACCAATACATTTCACTCTCTCTCTCTCTCTGTTCTACAGAAAGCCAACGTACCGAATGCCCAAGCCGCCTTCGCTCCAGGACAACCGTTCTTGTCACAGTTGTGCTCCAAGTCTTCTTCAAAGTGTATAGCGTAGAGCTCCTCGTATACATTGCACGCCACCTGCAGCTTCAAAGAATCAGCATATAGAATAGAGGGTAGAGAAGGGCTAGAGCGCGCAAGTCAGATAGATCGATCTACATCTGTTGCACCTCTCGACGCTCGAGGAGGAGGGAATTATCTAAGGCTCACCGACTCTGTAGGCCACCATGTCTATCTCATTCATGGTCAACAAAAGAGTGAGGCCGAACTGCCAGCTCTGAATACACTGGTCGTGAATTACGAGGACGAAAAGCCACGAAAGGGCAAATTCCAGCGCTTTGAGCTCGGCCCAGCTCCCGTTCATCGCTGGGGTCACTACGGTGTGACATATCCAGATGGCGCGTATGAACATATGTATGACTGGTCAACCAAGACTCTCGCTCTCGCTCCATCGGACATCGTGTACAAAGACGATAAGCCCATCACAGGCTTCTTCCATGTCGATCGTGGTTTGGAGTACACGGATCACCATGCCTTCTTCTTTAAGCGGGTCAAACCGGACTACGAACCTACTGTTGCGCATTCTGCGTTTGAGACCCATGACTTCGACGTCGAGCATTTGGGCCATGACTATCTTGAGTCGAAAGGATACGAGAGTTGTTGGGGTGTGGGAAGAGTTGGTTACATCAACTCCATGGTTGTGGACGAACTGCTAACCGGGAACAGCATGTCCTCGGAAGTCAAGTCTTTGACTACTGGTTTGATACCAGCGAGTTCATATTGGTAGGCAACACTTGTCATAATTTGATTGGCATGATACTAACAGCGTTACAAGGAGCACTATGCGGATGGCGATTTGGTCAATGCTGAGACGGAGGTATCGCATGTTCCTGCTGGGCCACAGGCGCTCAAGATCTGGGGGCCACCTATTCCGGGCGTGTTTTAGGTCATATTCAAAGTGTTATGAGAACGAATAAACACGTAGATATATAATTCAAACGCGTTCCACAGTCTGGCGGAAGGGCCAACAACGGGCGAACGTAGGTAGTGTACAAAACATGCATGAGAAACACGACCCAATGCTATGAATGGCTACCTCCTTCCATCTAAGCTTCTTCGTTCTGGCTTTCGCGGTTTTTGCGAGGAAATAAGGCAATGACAGGGCGGCGAGATCTTGGCTCCCATTTTGCATGAATGTGATGCAACGCTTCACGACATCGGCCGAAAGCCTTGAGGACATGAGTCGCCACAACACCTCTTTAGACGCCATCGAACAGCTTTGCCTGCCTCTTATGTATCAATGCCGCTATCAAGAAACACATGAAGCCCAATACACCGCATGAGCCAGCAAGTACCTGTCCATACAGATAGGATCCGTTGCCAACCTCAACCAACGCACCTCCACCAGGACCTCCGATAAGGCAACCAAAACTAGACAAGGCAAACCCCATGCCCATTCTTGTTCCGATTTTCTTGTTGTCCAGGGTAAGATCGGCGAGTGTTGCAGGGAACATGGCTTGCAAGCCTGCAGCAAACAAGCCGTAAAGCGCCGCAAAGGCATACATTCCTGCTGTCGAAGTGATCGCAATCCAACAATATAGTAGAAGAGCAGTGACGAAACTGACGATCAGGCTGATGGTCAATGGCCGGCAATAGCGGCCAGCAACGTACGCGGGTAACAGACGTCCCGGAATGCCGACGCCGTTTAGCACCAAGAGGAGCGGTATCGATTCTTCCAACGTCATACCCAACGTTGTTCGAGCGAAAGCATTGATCTGGGTAAGGTCAGCTATGTGGTTGAAGAAGATTGCGGTATTTACTTACATAGAAGAAAGCGAACCAAAGACCTGCGAAGCAAAAGACGGAGCCGAGAATCTGTGTACGTTAGCAAAGACGTCCCGGGTTCGTCGAATCAGACCACTTACGAAAAGATCAAAGACCGGATCCTTGAGCTCACTCGGTTCGAGCATCTTGACCGCAACCTTTGGTGGAAGCCGCTTCTTTAGCAGCCGTTCAGCAATCAATAGCATGACCAGCGCCATGAAGCCCAACGTCCTCACCGCCCATCCAAACCCGATGCGACCAATCAACCTGTTGAGCATGATCGGAATAACTAGCCCACCAGTGCCCGACCCGCATAACGTGATACTAATTGCAAAACTCCGCTTTGTCGCATCGAAATATGTCGAGATCACGGATACCATGGGCACGAACATGCATCCATTTGCGAAACCGATGCAAAACCCCTGCGCAAGCACGAACTGCCAGTACTCCTTGCAGATACTTGTCATGAAGATGCCGACCAGCCATAGCCCAATGCCTACGCGCAGAACAAGTTTGAAATGACCGGTGTCTGACGCGGCGCCAGACCAAAGAGGGATGGACAGCAGGAAGAAGACGGTGAGTGCACCGATCCATGAGATATTGGACGCGGTCGACAGTCCAATGGAGGTATAGTGCGCTTGGAACATACCAAATGATGTGATGAAGCCCCAGGTGAAGAAGGTGATGATATGCCCACCTAGCACTTGTGACCATGCCACCCATCCGCCATTGGGAGGCGGCTCGGTAGATGCGACTCTCGTGACATCAAAGGTTGAAGATACTTCTTGCTTGGTTGGCGCAATATCCTCCTCTTCGATCTGGCTGAACTCTTCAGTTGGCGGATCCGGTCCAATGGCGGCCATGTTGTTGCACGGCAAAAATGATGTTTGACCGCAAGGTCAGTCGACCCCAGGATTCTGCTTCCCCAGACCCATACTTTGCTGAGTCACGTCTTGCGGGAGATCGAGTTTGGCGAATTTTGCAAGCTCAGTTTTCCGAATTTATGAGGTAATAGGAGGGGATCGGTGGCGGGAAGATGCCCGCCGCAGCGGTCATTGCCGGCGGGCCAGGCGAGGCGAGTACGTCGGATACGGCACGCTCTGCCACTGCGCTTGAAGCAACGCTCGGAAGCCAGCCTCGCGCATTGAATGCCTAGGTACGTAGCTCAGACAACGCAGTACGCGCAATGGGTTCTGGGTTTGGCTTTCAGAATGATTGTTTGCGCATCTTACTTAGGACAAAGCCTCGTGGCAATAGGGTGATGTTCGCAGCGAAGTGGTAGACTTGGCGGAGTTACCCCACAGCCTCTCCCAGCCAATCATGTGCGCGCGCCTTCCAGCTTCCGAGGTCTGTCCTGCAACGCGCGCGGATATCAGTACCGTAAAGAAGCAGCCACGATGCCCGCTACAGCGAGTCAAGTCTTGCTAAAGAGAATATGACCGGAGAGATCCATGATGCCGGAGTGACGCAACAAGTTTACGATAATCAGAACCTTGTCGTATGGCTCTACTAGGTACTACCTAGGTACTACTACTACTACTTAATCTTAACACTTAAGTATGCAGGCTACTCTTTTTCTACAAAGTAGAACTGCGGCTGATAGTACATTGGGTGCGTCTTCGCGACCATTAGGGCTCACTTATCATGGCTCGAAGAAGAACGAGAACTCGCCGGTCCAAAAATTGGTTAAAAACAGCTATCAAGAGTCGTGCTCGCGGATGCTAAAATATCTCGCTTTCTTCCTAAATCTGGTCAAGCTTTAGATGCTAGCTGAACTGGTGATAGATTCCGAGTTCTTTCGGTGTGTGATTGATAGATACTAGTACGCCACTCCCTTTTCTCATCGCATTGGGCTGGAACTCGCACCTGAGACGGCCTTTGGGGGACGGTACTATCAACGCGACGACGAAACACTGAAAAAGTCTCAGTGCGACCCTGCGTGGAGAGCGTTTTGGATAGAGAAAACTAGGTCGTTCTAGAGGCAGCAAAAACGGCAGATTTTGTTCGAACACGAAGGGGACGAAGAAGTCTGTGAGTCTCGACGGTACGTTGACGTGATTGGAAATAAACCCTTCGCGAGGGCCGTGGTCTTGCAAGTCGCTTCCGCTCTGTGTCTGACCAGAGCACTTTACTACCATTTCTGATGGATGCCTCAACAGTAGTCTCGAGATGCTCAAACTTAAGAAATGGAATCTCCAGGCTCGGCAACGGATGCTATCTTCCAGCGGGATCAGTTCCCCTGGATTATTCAAGGATCGCAATCCTATTGGCGCGTTGATCACTGGAAGTCGTGGGATGAGGTGCAAGATCCCTGGAAAGACCTAGCTGGGCAATATTTGAAAGTTCTACTCCTCGACTAGCATGATTGGAAGAAACCCCGATTGCCATGGGAGTGTTATTACGACGGAGAACTGTAAGGTAGGTACAGACGCGAGTCGTGAACAGCGTCTACATAGGCTCAGTCGCCAAAAGACTCATGGGACTCAGGCGCCATAGTCACAAGGATTGTGCGCCGTCGTTAGTCGCGAGGCGCTTTCTATTCTGATACGTCGCTATGTCACCACGGCTGCTGTGACATGAGCATCTTCTAGCTGAGAAGCAACGCGTTCATCGAGACCCACCATGTGCAGAACAACGGGATGCCGATGTACGAATACATCTTGTCGTACTGCCGTGTTATCCAAATCTCAAGTACCAAGCTTTTTGTAGGGGTTGCCGAGATATCAGAATACCCGGTGGCACTGATGCTGTTCTATCCCTTTATGGCTGGGCTACCGGCAGGACTAACGCCAACAGAACACAGCTGTTGGTAGCTTCTTCTTCTTCTAGTAATCCTCTAACGAGATTGTGGCTCGAGGATGCAAGCAACCGCAACGATTGTTCGGGCACCTATGCAGGGCAAAAGGGATGGAACCACAACAGGCTCGTATAGACGTCTCCACCGTAAGCGATGCTGACGCCCAGGTGAACGATCAAATTTAACGTGTTCGTATACTGCATGTATTAAAGCTGTCCCCTCTTGCTGCAATGTGATACCCCAGGTACCCCTAAAAGGCCCATCACGTTCTTTTTGCAGCTCCAGCCCTACCTGCGGTCTCCACCTCCACACTCTCTAATCGCTGTACATTACTATACAAACATAATCCTTAATCATGTCGTTCAGTATTCGCAACACCATCGCCCTGGGCGCCTTCTCCGCCCTCGCTGCTGCGCAAACCGTGCCCCCGAAGCTCGACGCAACTTGTGCCGATGTGGTCATATTCATGGCTCGTGGCAACGACGCCCCATACCATGACGGTCGCACTTTCCCCTTCGTCGAAGCCACCTGCGGCAAGTTGACTGCTCAGGGCAAGAGCTGCGACTACATTGACATCCAGTTTGATGTAACCCTTGGTGGAGACTACTGCAACCAAGTTGCCGAGGGCGCTCGCAATGGCATCTCTCAGATCACCGCCTTCAACGAGAAGTGCCCTTGCTCGCACATTGTGGTGAATGGGTACTCTGAGGGAGCTCACGTGGCCGGAGATGTGCTTGGAGGACCGGTAAGCATCACGCGAGAACCGGGCACCCGTGAGGCATGTGCTAACTACGTACTGCGATATAGGGTGGATGCACATTCGTCTCGACCGGCCTAGACATCAACTCTGCTGCAGGCAAAGCGGGTAAGCGACTTCGACGATACTACGGCAATGTCCTTCCTAACATGTTTCAGTCGCCGCGGCTCTCCTCTGGGGAGACGTGATGCATACCGCCAACCAGCCCTACAATGTGCTTGACGGTGCCGACAAGCAGTCTAACGGGCGTAAGCCGGAGGATCTTGCTCGCCTCAATCGCTACGCACCCGTCCTTCGCTCCTACTGTGCTGCCGGCGACCCAGTCTGCGCCGGCGGAAACGTTGTGGCCGACCACTTGAACTACTTTGAACTCTACACCGACGATGCTTCATCCTGGGTCGTCTCCAAGATCGACAGTGTCGCACCTCTGCCGTCGTGCGGTGCCACCAGCTCATCATCCTCTGCTGCCGCCTCTTCCGCTACCAGTGCGGCCGTCACCCAGTCTTCTGCCGTCGTTCCTACCTCGTCTGCCGTGGTCACTGCGTCTGCTACACCTACTAAGGCTGAG